TCCTTAAATTGGAGAAAACTCCCCACGCGCCCCGCGGGCGCGGTAAAAAGGAGGTGCGACAGGCATCTCCGTGCTGCACCGTGTCTCTAAGGACACACAAATGGGGATCATGATACTACCGATCTCGGATACGCTCCAATAATGAAGAGCGAGTGACTGTGCAAGCTAACACACGGCTGGGCTCAGAAACATCCAACCTCACGAACTGATTGGCCAAAGCCTGAACATCCAAAGCAAGTAGTCTCTCACCGACCGGAATATAAGCAAGACTGCCTATACTGGCTGACTTCCTACTCAAATCATCGGCCACCATATTGGCCTTTCCTGGGTGATATAAGATAGTGATATCATAATCTTTTAGTAACTACAACTACCTCTTTTGCCTCAAGTTCAACTCCTTTTGCTTGAACAAATACTGAAGACTCTGGTGATCCGTGAACACCTCACATGCCACGCCATACAGATAATGCCTCCCAATCTTCAACACATGAAAAATAGCTGCCAACTCCAAATCGTTAACCGGATAGTTCTTCTCATGAATATTTAACTGCCGCGAAGCATAGGCAATGACCTTGCCATCCTGCATCAACACTTTTCCAAGCCCAATACGAGATGCATCACAATAAACTGTATAAGGCCCTGATCTTGTGGGCAAAACCAACATCGGTGCCGTAGTCAGAGCTGTTTTGAGCTTCTGAAAGCCCGCCTCACACTCGTCCGACCATCTGAACTGGGCACCCTTTTGGGTCAACTGGTCATTGGGGCTGTGATAGATGAAAACCCCTCCAAAACCGATGATAGTAGCCTGCCAATCTCAATAAACTCCGAATCTATAGCTGATGCTAGTCAAGGCCAAATCTTGACCGCCTCAATCTTCTTCGGATCAACCTAAATACCCTTTCCTGATACAACATGACCCAGAAATGCAACTGAACTCAACCAGAACTCACACTTCGAGAACTTAGCATATAACTGACTATCCCTCAAGGTCAGAATAACCACTCTAAGATGCTGCTCGTGCTCCTCCCGGCTGCGGTAATATATCAAAATATCATCAATGAAGACTATCACGAGCGAATCCAAATAAGGATTAAACACTCAGTTCGTCAAATCCATAAAAGTTGTTGGGGCATTTGTCAACCCGAATGACATCACCAAGAACTCATAATGCCCGTACCGAGTGCAAAAAGCTGTCTTAGGGACATCGGATGCCCTAATCCTCAACTGATGGTAGCCAGATCGCAAGTCAATCTTCGAAAATATCTTGGTACCCTGAAGCTGATCAAACAAATCATCAATCCTCGACAATGGATACTTATTCTTGAATGTAACCTTATTCAACTGCCGGTAATCAATACGCATTCTCATCGATCCGTCCTTTTTCTTAACAAACAACACCGGCGCACCTCAAGGCGAAACACTCAGCCTAATGAAACCCTTCTCAAGCAAGTCTTGCAACTGTTCCTTCAACTCTTTCAACTCAGACCGGGCCATATGATACGGCAGGATAACAATGGGCTGAGTGCCCGGAGCCAAATCAATGCAAAAGCCAATATCACTGTCGGGTGGCATACCTGGCAAGTCTGAAGGAAAAACCTCAGGAAACTCACGAACAACGGGCACAGAATCAATACAAGGAACCTCCACACTAGAATCACGTACATATGCCAAATAGGCCAAACACCCCTTCTCGGCCATACACGAGCCATCACATAAGAGATAACACTATGAGTAGAATGACTAGAAGTCCCTCTCCACTCTAAATGAGGCAAACCCGGCAAAGCTAAGGTCACAGTCTTGGCATGACAGTCCAAGATAGCGTGGTAAGGTGATAACCAGTCCATCCCCAATATTACACCGAAATCAAACATGTCCAGAAGATGCAAATCTATGCGAGTCTCAAGACCCCCAATCACAACTACACATGAACGATGGACTCAATCTACCACAATAGAATCACCCAACGGTGTAGACACATAAACATGAGCACTCAAAGAATCACTAGGCATGACCAGATATAATGCAAAATAAGATGACACATATGAGTATGTAGACCCTGGATAAAATAACACTGAAGCATCTCTATCACAAACCAGAATTGTACCTATAATAACCGCATCTGAAGCCTCAGCCTCGGGCCTGGCTGGAACAGTATAACATCGGGGCTGGGCCCCACCACCGTGGACTACATCTTTAGGACGGCCTGCTGCTAGCTGGCCTCCACCTCTAATGGCCTAAGCTCCACTTCTAATACCTCTACCTCCACCTCTAGCACCTCTACCACCACCTCTAGCTAGATGGGCGGGCTGTGGGACACTTGGTGCCTGAATCATGACACGGGAACCTTGATGCTTAGAGCTACTCGGTGTTCGAGGGCAAAACCTAGCAATGTGACCCATATCACCACAAGTGTAGCAAGCCCTCGAGTGCTGAGACTGCTGGCCCTGATGACCTGAATGACTACCCCAAAAACTCTGAAGCAGCGATGCACTAATAGGAGCAGGTGGTGCACTATAGGGTTGCTGATCAGAATACTACATTAGAGGACCACGACCACCTGAAGTACAGTGAGAAACCTGAAGTGCTGACTCAAAAAGCCTAGGAGGATGGCCTCTACCATATGAATCCCTACCTCCAGATGAGGTACCACAGAATCAGCCTGAATGACGGAGCCTCTTGTCTGACCCATGACCACCTCCCTGTGACAGAACCATCTCCACTCTCCTGGCCACATTGGCCGCCTCCTGGAAAGATATCTCACTCCCTGCCTCCCTAGCCATCTGAAGACGAATCGGCTGAATAAGCCCATCAATGAACCTCCTCACCCTCTTTCTCTCAGTGGGAAGTATGATAATAGCATGACGAGCCAAGTCGATGAATCTGGTCTCATACTGGGTAACAGTCATAGAACCCTGTTGGAGATGCTCAAACTGCCTCCGATAGGCCTCTCTCTGAGTGATAGGGAGAAACTTCTCTAAAAATAGCTGCGTTAACTGCTCCCAAGTCAAGGCTGGCGATCCGGCTGGTCTAGATAATGAATAATCTCTCCACCAAGTCTTGGTGGATCCAGATAAGCGAAAAGTAGCAAAATTGACCCCATTGGTCTCAACTATCCCATGTTCCTAAGAACCTCGTGACAGCTGTCTAGATAATCCTGGGGATCCTCAGTAGATGCACCGCCAAAAGTAGTAGTGGAGAGCTTGGTGAACCTATCCAACCTCCACAAAGCATCGGTAGACATAGTTTCTCCCTCGCCGGTCTGAGCTACCACACCCAGCTAAACTGCTCCAACTGGATAAACCGCTAGAGTCTAAAACTAGGAATCTCGCATTTGCGAACTCTTAGGAAATTTGGGGTTTTTCACATTTGCGAACAAATAGTCGCATTTGCGACTACATGACCTCTCAACATACGTCGCATTTGCGAAGGGGATTCTCGCATTTGCGATCATAGAGGACTTAGGCGGGCGTCGCATTTGCAACATATACACTGCATTTCCGAAGAAGGCTACCCAGGCCACCTCTCGCATTATGATGCAAGGCTCACATTTGTGAGCTCTCATTTGCGAGCTCGCATATGCGATGCAGGTCTGAAACACCAGCAATAAAAACCTGCAATTTCTAAGTTCAAAATGCACACTGTGGCCTATCCAAAACTCACCCAGGCCCTCGGGGTTCTAAACCAAATATACACACAACCTCAAAAATATCCTACGGAGTTGTTCGTGTACTCAAATCACAAAAATAACATCATGAACATCGAATTAAACCTCAAGATCAATGAAATTTCTCAAAACTCCTTTAAACATTAATTTTTGCAATTTAGGTCTGAATCACGTCAAATGATATCCGTTTCTCACCAAATTTCACAGGATTGTCTTAAATCATATATAAGACTTTTACCGGGCATCGGAACCAAAATACGGGCCTGATACCAACATGTTCTTATTAGATTTCATTTCAAATTCCTATAAACAATTTTAGAAAATAATTTTCTTTAAAAATTCATTTCTTGGGCTTGGGACCTCGGAATTCGATTCCGAGCACACGCCTAAGTCCCATATTTTCCTACGGACCATCCAAGACTGTCAAATCATGGCTCCGGGTCTGTTTACCTTGAACGTTGACCAAAGTCAAATTAACTCATTTTATAGTAAAGATTTATCATTTTTCACAGATTTTCGTAGATAGGCTTTCCGGCTATGCGCCTAGACTGCGTATGCAAATCGAGGTGATGACCTTGGAACATAGAATATCATTTTAAGATCATGGAAAGAGTTGGGGAGGCTTCTTACATGCTTGCATTGCCTCCTATACTAGCAGGGGTACATCATGTATTTAATATTTCTATGGTTCAGAAGTACAGGGAGGATAGATCACATGTTTTGGACTTCACCACGGTGCAGCTTGATGAGAATTAGACCTTTGAGAAGGAGCCAATGGCTATTGTAGACCGACGAGTTTGAAAGTTGAGATCCAAGAGTTTTCCTTCTGTGAAAGTGCAGTGGAGAGGTCAGCTGATTAAGGAGGCTATGTGGGAGTCCAAGTCTGATATGCGGGGTAGATAGCCACATCTTTTTACCAATCTAGGTACCTTTGTATTTCTATTCGAGGATGAACATTTCTTTTAGAGGTGGAGAATGTGACGGCTTGATAGGTCATTCTGAGTACTAGCCTTTATTTCAGTATTCTAAGACCTCTCATAGCTTCATTTAGCTTAATTTGATGTTATATGACATGCATGTGTGGTATGTGTTGTTTTTCAAAAGATTTGACATTAAATTTTGATAAAAAGTTGTATTTGACTTAAAATAAGGTTAGATTTGACCACAGTCAATGTTTTGTGGGTAAAAGACCTCAGATCAAAATTTTGACTATTTTGGTAGGTTCGTATAATATTTTTTGACTTGTATACATATTTGGTTGGGGTGTGGGGTGGCCCGAGCATGTTTCAGCGCATTATATGAAAGATTGTAAAAATGAGTTTTCAAGTAAAAAATCTTAAGTTTCGATGATTGATTCTTGTTATTTGATGTTATTTTGATGATTTGAGGTAGCGAGGAAGATTATATGATGTTATTACACTTGCGTGCATGCTTGAAAGTGAGTCCGGGGGGCTCAGGAGAGTTTCTGATTGGTTTTCGGCCATTTTTGGCCTTGTGAGTTTGCTGGTTTTCTGTTGGTTTCTCAGTACTTCACAATCGTGTTGCCACTCTCACGATCGCGAAAGGGAAAAATTGGGGCTGGGGATGGATACACTAAACCAATGCGAGAGGTGGATCATGAACGCGAGGGCTTGGGGGGCTGTCTTTCACGAACGCGTAGGCTTGGGGAGTGTTTGAGGAGAAGAGACGGTTCTTCAACGCAAACGCGACCCACTGATCGCGAATGTGGAGGCTTGGCTAGAGAATAAGATTTCCCGAACGTGATGGGAACTTTGCAAACGCAAAGGTTAATGGTCCTGTGTGAGTCGAGAATATGGCAGGTACTTTACGAACTCAAAGAACCATTGACAACCAGTTAAATAAGAGAACTAAGTTGGGATTTCATTATCTTTCACCATTTTTGAAAGTTAGAGCTCGGACTAGAGAGATTTTTGAAGAGATTTTCATCTCAACGTCATTGGTAAGTGATTTTCAACTATTTTAAATGTATTTCCATACTCACCCATTGATTTTTTACCTTAAATTTAGTGATTTCAAAGTAGAATTTGGAGGTTTTGGGTAGAATTTATGAAATTGGTAAAATTGAGCTTTATACCTAGAATTCAGGTCGGATTTCGAAACAAATCACATAACTAGACTTGGGAGTGAATAGGTAATCGGAATCTAGTTCGAATCTCAAATTTTGACCAAGCGAGCCTAGGGTTGACTTTTGTTGACTTTTGAAATTTAGTTAAAGATTTAATCTTTTTCACTCGTGGACAGTTTTTAAAGATTCTTTTGAATTAGTCGAACTATATTTGACTAGATTTGATTTGTTTGGAGGCTTGTTCTAAAGAAAAAGTCGTGGTAGTTTATTGACTTGTTTCCAAAAAGAGGTAAGCATCGTGGTTAACCTTGACTTGAGGGAATTAGGACTTTATTGGACTATTTGCTATTTTATTTATGTGTGGAAACGACATATTTATAAGGTGATAAGTGTATATACATTGTCATGGGTTAATCATGCGAGGTGGGTCTTTACTATATATTTTAACTACATCATGCCTTTTACTCTGTGTTACTACTCATATCATGCCCTCGTTGTTAATTGCCTTATTTGTTAAGTACATGTTTTCTTTGTTACATTCCCTCTCTTGTTAGTTGATCCGTGCATCCATGTTTTTACTTGTTGTTCTCTTCCATTTATTATACACCTTTAATTGTTTATTTTCCTTTATTTCCTTCTAGTTCGCTATAGTTTTTTATATTGGGTTGCTTTAGAGTATTTGTTTGCTTTGGTTCCTTTATCTATGTTGAGAGCTACAGCGTAGTTATTTGTAGTATTTAATATTATTGATTGTGGTTGGGTTGTGTGCCGCAATAGATACTGATATTATTGTTTGGTATCGGGTTGCATTCCACAATGATATTATAATTTTGGATCGAGTTGCGTGCTACGACGAATATTGGTATTATTATGTCGGATCGGGTTGCGCACTGCAACGGATGTTGGTAGTATTATTTTGGATCAGGTTGCATGCCGCAATAGAGTGTGTGTGTGTGTATTTGGATCGGGTTATGCGCCGCAAAGAAGAAGACATATGGACTGTTCTTAACTATTGGTTTTGTATTCGTGTTGTGTTGAGACAATTAAGCATAGATGTTATTCTGGGGCCCTCTATTATGTACTTTATGTTTCCGATTTTAATGTTCATTCTGTTTTCTTTATTCTGCTATTATTTTATTTATACTCTCACAATTTTATAGTGAGTGTGTTGTTATAGCCTCGTCACTACTTCGTCGAGGTTAGGCTTGATACTTACGGAGTACATGGTGCCAGTTGTAGTAATACTACAGTTATGCACTTCTATTGCAGATTCTTGTGTTGGTCCCCACAGCGACTTAGTGGAGGCTCACTCGGAATATCTTCACATGCAGACTTGAGGTAGAGCTGCACAACATTTGCAGCCTACACATAGCATTAGCGCACAGGTCATCATATCCCTTTTCTACCCAATTATCCTCCCCTTAGTGGTTATATAAGCGATTCATAAGAATAACTTTAATATTTTATTAGGTTAAAACTACTAGGAAATGTGTTCTAATTAAATGTACTCTATGCGTGCATTACCCGTCCCTTACTTATGGTCCTGGAGGTGTTTAGGACTTCTAGTTAAGGTGGATCTTGACTCTCCTATAGTGCTTAAAAGGATAAAATCTAAGCGACAAGAAAACAAATAAGACTGTCAGATAAGGGAACAGTTAAAGGCTCACATTTAGCTCTACAAAAAAGCAGACAATTGCATGTCTCAAACAACAGTATATCAGACACTTTAAAAATCCAATAGCAGGATATCTAGGTGAGCACAAAGTAGAACATATGCAGTGTTTTTTTTTATTTAAAGCAAGGCAGAAGATACTTAATCAGTTTGCCTACTAATTTTAGGACTTGCTGAATCTGGGCAGTTCACAAACAATTAAACAAAGCATAATTTTATAATTTAGAGATTTTAGTCATCTTACAGGCTTGCCTAGCATGGATCAGA